GGTTTTACAGGATGAATGAAAAATTTGTGCATAATTACCAGGAAGTTTAGAATTATAGGTGAATGAAGAGCCTTTTTCAATGCCGACAACTACGTGACCCATATCACAACATAGCGATACCAACAGCTCAGGACCGCTGTCGGCTATCGGTTGTGCACAGAAACGACCACAGTCATCGATCATCGACGAACGTCGACTCACAGAATTCGAACGACTTCCCATTGCTGATGGTGCTAAATTTAGCTGAAATTATTCCACTCATTATCTTACTGCTTATCATATTCATTACTTTATAAAGCACACTAAACGATTCGATGTAGTGTATAAAATATGGATGAATAAAGTGAACGCTTGAACTGGGCCAAGGAAATGCGACGCATTCTCCTGTGGACAAAACCACATATGTAAGGAGGAGGCCGAGAGTGCAGCACTCTTAGAGAGCGAGAAGGAAATCACTGGAATAGAATCAGAAATGGTATCGAAGAAAGGGGAAAAGGTCCTCAGCATCAGGCTTATGCCCGTTTGATAGTATAAGCCAGTTATTTCACAGGCTTATACTATCAAACGTTTGATAGTATAAGCCNAGGAGCAGAATGGGGCTCAGAGGCCTCTGGAAGCATCAGAACCTCGAAAGTGCTCTGAGCCCCGAGTCTGAAAGGCTCCCGAACCTTATTCTCAGGGATCGCTGGGTATCGGGCTGCCGACTCAACCCTACTCGACAACAACATCGTACACTTTGATCAACGTGAAAGATCAAGACACCTCATCGCATTAACAACAACCACTCATCTGATGAAAGAGCAAGAAAGATATTAAATGGGAGTCGAGGATTTGACTCATTGAAATCGTTGCTCGTATGTGTCCTTTCACAACGATTACCATCGTAGTGGATTTTGAACAACGACCATCTATTGAGATTACTGGATATATCAAAGCCATCTGATGTTCTATGCAGATGAACGATTATCTTGCCTCCTCTCGCAATCTCAATCCACTGTCAAGCTTTTAGAGATTGATGAAGGCATAAATGAATACTAATGAATTTCTCCAATCTCAACGTAGATCCGAATGATCCGACCGAATGCAATATGAGTAATACGCGAGCAACATACAGTATCGAAAACACGCGAAATTTTACTTCCTGTTTCAATATATCGCAGTGTTCGCAGCCTAACAAACGAAGAGTTCAAATTTCGGCCGGCAAAAAGACTCACTTGCATGGTGAAGATGAGTGCAATATATCTCACGAAGACAGCGTTCACGACAACAATAAATATTTAATAAGGAGTGATCATTGACTGAAAAGAAGAACTCATTAAGTGCCATTTCATCGTAACGAAATATTTCCTCACATAGCCTAGATTCAATTCATCAGCTACTGCGAAATATGAAATGTGAAACTGATCACCAGAAGAATGTGCCAACAATATTATATTATTCCTTCATAATGCTCGTTTCGCAATTCCCAAAAGACGCAACTTCTCTTTCTCGTTATTAGGTTATCAAGTGAACGTCGAAGTGCCGAACGAAGCCAGTTCCTGATGAAGATGATGACAATACATACGTTATACGTTATGTGTTACGTTATCGCGTTGAATGTGTTCATTAATGAGGCACACAAGGAATGGAGTTGAGAAGAATGTTTTGATATAAATAGATGAGCCGAATGAGACCAAGTTGAAAACAACTCAAAATATCGACCGACAGAATCATGGATATTCCGAGTCATGGATGACTTCGCTCATCATTACAGAATCAGAGACACTAAAAGTAAATCATTATGGCTAATTGTCTAGTTATCTTTGTTACTGTTCATCAATTTATCAAACGGTCATTAGATGAAGTCACTGATAAAACGATATCGCTATTCTTATCATTATTATTTTAGCATTATTTTTATCATTCACAATTATTTTAGTTATCATTCGTGCAATAATCTTGTTAGTATCGTTATAATCGTTATCATTACGACTAGTTTTACTTTCATTAATGTCATTACCATTGATAAAACGTTCGTTTATGAATACAGTTTTTATACGTCAACTATTCACATTCCTCAGAAACGATCTCAAGAGAATTTCACCGACATTTTCGCACCTCATTCGATTTCTCTATGAAGATTCGTTTGTCTATCGCGGTTATCTTATTAGCATCTCAGTGCTGTTATAACTGACATTTTCAATGTATTTCTGTCATGAAAAGCATTATAAGAATCATTCTTATTATTTCACCAACTCATTCCTCATTATTTCAACTACTGTCATCACTTTCATCTGTACCAAATCTTGTCAAAGGTCAAACTATTGCTTTGATCAGTTATTATCACTAGCAATATTTCGACGTCCTTGGCGAAGAGCACAATAACGATGGGAAGAGAGACTCTTCGGTTGCAATATGCAGGCAAATTCGGTTATGAGTCACAAATTCTGGAATGATGGCGTATTGACGAGAGTCACAACGTATTGAAGAAACATCAGTGGATGACATGGACAGATCTGATGAAGATGATCGTCATCGGTATTGTGGTTGTTTGCAAACATAATTCGATGCATTCCACCAGAATATTTGTTTGTTTGCTTAGGCGAAATTGAATTCGTTGTTTTTGTCAGTCAATTATTCATGCTTCAAAGAAGCGGAGAGATTCATTAAGGTGCTCAACTAGCGTCATTGATGACAGAAATAATGTTCGTTGATGGATAATATTAAGCATCGGTTTTTGTTTAGGTGACGCATGGATGTGACTGACGACTTGATGTGTGTGTCAATCAATCGCTTACGATGAGCTCTTGCAAAAACTGAGAACAATTTGATTAATGCAGTCAATTTGATGAGT